CAAATACTGAGAGTCAACTCTGTACCCCATAAATATGTATAAATAAAAATTTAAAAAAAGAAATCATGTACACAGTAGATTATTTCTTTAAAATAAAATGCATATTCTGGCATATAAACCAAGTAATAATCACATTGCTACTATATTTTTCTTCTTTTTTTTGCAGCTGGCTGGCATGTGGATACAAACCCATGACCTTGGGGTTAGAAGGCTGCCCTCTGAGTTTACCGGCCAGTCCACATTGTGATTATAGGTTAATGTTCTATGTAAACTTTCATCCACACCTCTGGACACATTATTGATTGATTCCAGTGACTTTCTCCCCATATTTCATTCCAAATAATGCTAACCTCTGTCTATAATTCTCTCAACTGAGGCCATGATTTAATATATTACCCAAACATACCATTATTGGGGTCCCATATTTATAAGGGCCACATAGCAGTGTACAACAAAAGTATTATCTATGAATAGTTCAATGTCACAAATACATTTCTATAACCCTTGTCCATAAAATTGTCCCTCCTCAAAATAAAACATGTCCTGCCTGGGTCCACACACACCTGTATTGTAAAATTGATTAGTTGTATCAGAAATCTCAGGGCCACAGCCAACAAGGAAAGTGACGGGCAAGGACTTGCCTTTAGAAGGACAGATTACAGAACGGTAAGGAGGAAAAAGGGCAACATGGCAGAAAGCAAATCGGGCATTATTCCTTGTGTCACCCTCGCTGCTGCCCCCTCTGAGCAAGGGGAGGTGTGACCACACCTGGTCCGAATAAAGGACATCAATTTTACTTAAAATGATTTTTTCAAGATTTTCCTGGACTTATTTTGAATAATCTTACAATAAAGTAGGATGAAATCATTCCGGTGAATTGGAAATTGAGCTGCAAAGCGAGCTATGTTTGACTGCGACTTTTTCTTCTCTCTTTGTGCTCTGTGACGGCGCAGCTCCAAGGTCAGTATTTCATCCTTAGCTTTCTCCGAGCTTATGTGCCAGCGCCTTACTATGTTGCTCACATACAGAGTTCAGAGTTGTTTCTGCGGGTTTTGGCAAGTTCCTGTCTATGAGATGCCTGAGGTCAGGGCAGCTCCTCTGACACCTCTGTCCCCTTATGGAGGGAAGCAGCCGCTCGGCCACCACTGCACACGGCACTCACAGCACACGGCACTCACAGCACACGGCACTCACCGCACACACTACAGAACAGCACTGCTGGCCCCTCTCCCTAGTGATGCCCTCTTGTTATCAACCAGTGTCACATTGAAGATCAGGAGAGTTTAAGAGTCATGCTTAACAGTCTTCTCAGTGTCCCCAAATCTGCACTTTTTAACTCTTTTGTTGTTTTGAACCCCTCTGCAAATCTTATGAAAGCAACTGACCCTCTCCCTGGAAAAATGCACACTGTGCATGTAACATTGCAAAGATGCCGGGTTAAAACTCCCCCAGACCAATAACAATAAAGGAGATTGAAGCTGTTATCAGAAGGCTCCCAACAAAGAAAAGNTAAAGTCAACTCAAAATGGATTAAAGAATTAAATATACACCCTGAAATAATAAAACTTCTTTAAAAAAATAGGAGAAACACTTCAGGAAGTAGGACTGGACACAGACTTCATGAATATGACCCCAAAAGGACA